GAGAGAGAGAGAGAGAGAGAGAGAGAGAGAGAGAGAGAGAGAGAGAGAGAGAGAGAGAGACAATGGATGCGTTGCACAGGTGCACTGAGGGGTCGCAACAACAGATAAACATGGAGACATACAAGAAACAGTTGCCAAATTGTGGGAATGGCGCTCTAAAAGCCACCATACGGTCATCTATTACAAGCAAGTCAAGAACATCATATATTGATATATCTGATACACCAATGATAGAGGCTCCAGAGTCTGCAGTTGTTTCAAGATGACACCACTAAGACACAGCACACAAGCATGGCAAGGCTACGTGAAATGGGGCGTGATCAGGTGAACAAGACAAGTGACTAATCAACATACAGAAAACCGAGTCCCGGGCGTGTAGGAAGAGAAAATCTATGAAATGCCAAGAGGCACTGAAGTTGGGTTAACACACGGCCAGAGCAGATGGGAAGTAACAAAACATGGGGAAGCAAAATATGGGAAAGCAAACCAAGGTTACACACACAGATGGATCAGGGTGAAGCGGGTTGAGGTAAGGTGAGAGCGGAGCAGAGCGGAAGAGCCCAAAACGATGGCACATCCATCTTACACTGATAAAATAAGTGCAGCTTGAAAAGCACGGCCCGATTCGGAGGATCGTCGAAACCATTGGCCCTTCCCAGCGCCATCATGAACCCTCTCACACAACAAACACTGCCCAATCAGCCTCCCTCTCACAGTGAGATCGCCCTAGACAAATGTATACGGCAGCCACCACTAGTAATCTAACAGCGCAGAAATGAAAACCAGCAACCAACCAGCTAGCAAACAACATGAACGCAAAAGTTGCAAAACTTCCCACCAAACAATGCGAACCAAGGACAGAAAAAAGTTAAAAAAACTTAGAGAATCATACATGTGACCACAAGCGGCTCGATTTCCAGTACTCAATAGTACCCCGCAATACTTGCATGCAAATCACATACCCGCCAGTCAGTATCCACATAGCCAACGAAATACACGGCATTATTCACTGAGAATACATTCCTTAGAGGAAAATAAAAAATAAAATAAAACCTCGAAAAACTTACACAGTGATAATCATGCATACCAGTAGCCAAATTCACTTCAAAACAATATGTGACCACCAAGAGAATAACCTCATCGGTGACACGGAGCCCATCTGCTTTAGAAATCTTATAGCAATCCATGGACTTGCGGCTGAGTTGTACACACGTTAATTTTCATAAACAAGCCACGAGTTGGAATCTGGATGGGTACTATACAATAACGTGGATAACGTTAGAGGCTACCCCCTCCCACCCCCCTTTTAATTTCAAACAAAAAAGTCACCATCCTGAATCCTGATATAGGTACAGGCTCTGGGAGAACAGGGCGCTAATTGTTTGTGCCAACACTTATGATGCAAGGAACCCAACTGTTCATCACTTGCTGGAGTGCATCAGATCGCACGCGTATACACTGATTCCACAGATTGCGAAGTCTCACACAGAACCCAATAGAAGATGAATGAGAACCAGGAAGCTCAACTCAATTATCAAACCCAGATTTAGAGAGAGAACATCGTGAGTTCAGAATGTATAGCGCTGAACAGAGTTACAAGTCTTCTTCGTTCAACATGAGTTCCAAGCCTGGCGCTCATCAGCACCAGCTGCCAGATGTCAACAGCGCTCAACAGGTAAGTATCACCATAGTTCTCACTTCCTCCTCTCTTGTCTGCCGTCTTCTCTCTCTCCCTCTATGTCTATAGTCCTGGTCTACCCTCACTCGTCATGCATGCACACTCCCTATCACACGAGGATCTACTCTGCATACTACTCACTGCTATCTTCTACTGACTCTCCCTACTAACATACTAACTACCGCCGGCGCAGCTATGGCTGCCTTCCCTCTAGCCAGCACTCGCTTCCTCCTTCCCACATAGCGCTGCTCTTCAGCCTAGCGCAGCTCACACACATCTAGCGCACAAGTGCCACGGCACTTCCACACTCTCATGCGAAGTGAGCATCTGTCCAAATGGGAGGCTGGCCAGTCCTTTGTAGTGCTAGACTGGCCCGGCGTGGCCTGCATTCAGCCTCAAGCGTCTGGGACTCCTGCCCAGTACCCGTTGTTGCGAAGTGTGTGTCCCAGTATCTTTTCCCATGGCCTGCTGCTGCTTTGGGCCATCGGGCTTGTCTTTTGGACTCCTGGTCTGAATCAGGACTGACTCGTGGGATTATGACTGGACTGGGACTGTAGCCTTTGACTCATTACCGAACAGACATGTCCTTTCATCGAGGAGACATGGACCAGTTTCTGACTTTTCAAAATGACTTTCCACTTCATTGTGGATGCGACATTTACCTCAGGAACTTTGTCTTTTGAGTTGCTGCTCGTGAATTTAAGTTCTGGCGGACAGGGCCCCTTGCTGTTGGGGTATCCATTTGGGTTCTGATTCGTAAAGGCCCTTTTAATGGCACTTAAACTGGTCCATAATAACAGCAAACTTGTGGGTCAAATTCTTACGAACAAAGCTTGCAAAGAAAAATCAAACGAGTGGAACATGTCCATTCCATCAAGTGGGGATCAAACCAACAGAAAACAGCAAACACTCGATCAATAATAGCTTGCATACATCACAAGTCACGGGCAGGGCTCGAGCGCATTATTAACACGTCAGTCTCGTGTGAGGCACATAGAATTTGATAGATGATCTTCGAGACGCATTCTCCATACAATGCAATCTGTGCAATTGATACACAGAGATTGTTAACTTGAAGGTCAGCAAAGAAATCACCAAGGTTCACGGTCTGCACAGCGAACATAGTACACTGGAACTTTGAGAGGGCCGTTAGCTTTTTCCCAATGCACAAATCTGCATCGCTCAACATAGTACAGTGGAACTTCGCACGGGTTGCCAGCTTTTTTCCAATGCACGAAACATTAGGAGCTGTCTATTGTGGAAATGATGTCTAGATGCCCATATATGGCCTGAAACCAGTCTGCCTAGGAAAGACTAGGTCCTACTCAAGACGGCTGGGATATATTGATTCCTTCCTTGGTATGTTTTCAGGTTATGGTACAGACTACACAAACATACAGGGACCTAAAGGTTGACCCTTCAGCTGGCTGGGTTTCACAGGGATCGGTGACCTACCACATTCTCGAGTGGTGCTAAAGACACTGGCTTGGGGGATCCCAAAAGGTTAACAGAAGGCAAGAGGGAGGGAGGGAATGGGGAAGCTACATTCTCGGGGGTGTTGATGGGGGACGGGGAGGGGCAAAAGGGCGTGTATCGCAGGGAGGTGGGTAGGACACTAAGAGAGTGGAGGAGATCCACAATAGCAACAGCTGCGATGTCCAATAAGGAGATGTGCACAATCAGCCAACCTTTCTACAAAGCCACTATACCTTCTTTTAACCATGTGCGGGACATGCTGTAACACCCTAAGTGATGCCTTTTAAAACACTGCTGCGCCACTAAACTTGCTTTAAGTCACACAAGAAGGGCCGGCAAGTCCGTTCAAGAGCAGAGTAAAGAGTGCCATATAGAGAGCTAGACCATTTCCGTTAATGATGACGGGTTGCCTTCTCATTGGTCTCTCCAACCGTCAAAAGACATACTGAGTGCCCACACGTCCTACAAGACCAAAACTGTTAAGGGAACACGATACCTATACTTTGTGTCCAATGACACACATGAAGCTGCTTCGGTTTCAGAATATTTGGCCAGCAGAAGGAATTTCATTCAGGGTTCGTTGAGCTTTCTTTACTGTTCTTCTTCCCACTCGTGATGCAACACCACAAATAAAGTGATGATGAAAAGCTCATCACCATCTCTCTCTCTCTCTCTCTCTCTCTCTCTCTCTCTCTCTCTCTCTCTCTCTCTCTCTCTCTCTCACACACACACACACACACACACACACNCACACACACACACACACACACACACACACACACACACACACACACACACACACACACACACAGTGATGACGCAACACCACAAATAAGGTGATAAAAAGTTCATCACCAGCTCTCTCTCTCTCTCTCTCTCTCTCTCGTGACACAACACTATTTAAAGTGATAAAAAGCACATCACCAGCTCTCTCTCTCTCTCTCTCTCTGTGACACACACACACACGAAAAGAAGAACTATTATGGAATCACATGACAAACATCGTCATATTCAGCAACATATGGAAGGCACTCCGGGAAACCACAGACCTTTCCAAAAGCATCACGATGAGGAGAAATCAAGCCTGCTCCCCATGCTCCTTGGCATCTCAACAGCTCACCACTAACTAAAGACTGTCATGGCATCCATCATTAGGGTGACAGTTCAGAGCAATAAATGACTGATGCTTTCCAGCCTTCCCTCTCCTCGCTCCTCCATTTCCCCCTCTTCTGCTCATCTCATTGCAATATAGCATTATAAACTTGTGACATCAAACTTGATTCATTGCATGTTCATAGCATACCTGAAAGGAGACATACATAAAGCTAGCAGAGAATGGTGATCATTCTTGTACAGAACTGGATCCGGAAGCGACCGGAATGCATCAAGAGTCCGTATCGTCAGAAGCTCAACAGCTGGTCGCAGTGATGCCGGTGCCTCCTGCAATGTTGGCGAGGAAACATATACCAACGCACTAGCACGCACATACACACACACGCACACGCACTTACTCAAACGTGCACAGACTCAGAATACACAGACCATATAACAACACACACACTGAGGGACTCACACTGACACATACACGCATACACACATATGCATGCTCGTGTATGCACGCACACACACACACACGACTCACACTGACACATACACGCATACACACATATGTATGCTCGTGTATGCACACACACACACACACACAGGTGCACACAAAAGTCCAGACAATCCATGCACATGTCCGAAGGTGCAGTGTTTAGGCAACAGCACAACCTTATAAGAGAAAACATCAAGATCCTGGCAGGAACATGAAAAGTTACTAGACATATAGGAACAGCATGTTGAAGAAAATATAGTCAGACATGGTCAGAAAGACTCAGAAGAGACGAAAGCTCATTTTTCTCTCAGCTACATGGATCACAGTCTCAAGCATGAATCACATACAAGTTGATTCAACTGTTTTCGGTGAAAGATCCTCATAGTGTAATGGTTGGTGAGAATGTATGTCCTTCGTATAAGGACATGTTTCGTTTCTCAAGCGATGAATGCTCATCTTCTTGTTTTCTCCTTGCAAAAGTTTGACAAGCATATTTCCCTTCTCAAGCGACGAATGCTCATCTTCTTGTTTTCTCCTTCCAAAAGTTTGACAAGCATATTTCCTTTCTCAAGCGACATGCACGCAAATCCAAATTGTTGACACAACATTTCCTTCATATATGATTGTCACGCTCTTGCAAAAAGGAAAAAATCGTTGTTTAACTGCTGGTACACCTCTAAGTACTTCTAATGGATACTTGATAATATGATTATTATGATATACTTTTTTTAGAAAAATCTTTGTTTTTCTTCTTGAATGAATTATAAATTTATAACTCATTCAATGAAGTGATTCAAAATTCAAATTCATGACTCTAAAAGTCGGAGCAACCGATAAACTCTGCCATTTTTTGTTCTCACAAAATGAAGCAGCTGTTGTCGCACCAACCGGCCTAGCTCAGTTGGTACACCCCTGAACTGTCAAAGTACAGACTTGAGTTCAAACTCCACTGAAAGCAGATGAGTAAAACACTACAATAATAGTACAATTCTGAGTTACTTAGGGCCGGCCAGTTCGGATGATATCTCACAGCCTGCCACCCTTGTTTTTTTCACAAAAAGAAAAAGTGGCTGTTGTTGCAGAGTTCGAACTGGAAGAATCAAAGAGAATATACTCGCAAAATTCACTTTGCTTTAGTACGCAGAGTGTTGTGACAGAAGTTTGATTTAGTATGCAGAGTGTTGTGACAGAAGTTCGCCGGAAGTAAGGAGCAGAGGCAGCGACAGCCTTCCCAACCTTGCCTCACACTCTTCCAAGTGTTGTTGGTCATCCAGAGTGAGGCGCTGGGATCCAGCTGACATGATCAAAAGCAATAGGCCAGGAGAAATCACCCTTATGGTATGTGATGCTATCCCTCTTCTTCCCCACCCCATGTCTTCTTGTGCTATTACGCATATGAGCGGCGTGACTGTTGTCGCTATGCTCTAGCTAACATCTTAACCGGAACCCATCCAATGCGACTGCATGATACATACATGTCACTGTTACTAAACATCTCTGGAAGTAAGGAGTAGAAGCAGTGACAGCCTTCGGAACCTTGCCTCACACTTTTTCCACTGTGTTGTTGGTCATCCAGAGTGAGGTGTTGGCGTCCAGCTGAGATAATCAAAATCAATAGGCTCACCAACTTAACCGAAACCCAGCCCATGCGACTGAATGCCGCATGCACGTAACTCTTAGCGAGCAGCTCATGAGTTCGGATCCTGAAAGGACGAGCTGAATACAATAGTCTTCAGGGTTCCTCCCTGTTTGGTGGATAGGGGGGCTTTTGGGGGGGGGGCAGGGGGGGGGAGGGGAGGAGGGCACGAACTGAGCCAAGGAATGTTATGCAGAAATGGTGTGTTCAGAAGACATGTAAGCTATAAGCACATCTTCAGTGGCTGCTACACGACAATGAGATGCTTACTATGAAAATGAAAAACTGGCGCTACAAAAAAAAGCATTCGCTGCCCATGACAGAAACAAGCAAAGTGTGATTAAGAGGGGAGGCGAAGAAGGGGGATAAGACGGAGTAAGAGGATGGGAGAAGCAGCCATAGAAGAGGCCATGAGGACGACGACGAGCGGGAGGAGGTGGGGAAGTCATGGAAACAGAGCTCCCATGGACAGAAATGCAATTGGTAGATTCAACAATCAACCTCGTGAAATGTTAAAAGGTTGAGAGGAAATGAGAGGAGAAGAGGAGAGGGTAGAAGTAGAAGGAGAAAAGTTATTGAAAGAGAGATATCACTGATCAAACTGCCATTAGCAGTCAACCTGATGGTATGTTAAGAGGGTGGGAGGAACTGAAAGCAGAATAGGACGATGTGGTGCAAGGAATTGATTGCAGGAAGGTCAAGGAGACAAAGGCAAGCATGAACTTGTGTAGCATGAACTTGTGTATTTGAGGAGGAGAGGAGGATCTAGAGGAGACGACAGGGTAGTTGCAAGAATGGATGGTTGGAGTAGGCCGAGGTGGGGAAGGGATAGCAGAGGGAGATGGAAGAGGAAGAGTTGAAGTGGTCGATGCAGATGTCGTGGAGGAGGTGGAGAGGATGGAACAGATGGAGGTAGAGGTTGTCGATGTGAAGGATAGAAGCAGAGGTGCAGATGGTAAAGGAAGGGATGTAGCTGCAGAGGACAGGACATGCAGGGAGTGTCACAGCACAGGGCGGACAGGAAAAGACAAGGAGCAAATAAAGAGCTATCAGCAGTACAAATTGGCCGTACGCAGACACAAGCAGATGTTTCCTAATTGCATGTACACAGATACTTTGATGGCGGCATGGTTCGTCGATGGTGCAGAGTCAGCACAACATAAAAAAACTCCTTCCCAGAGTGTGAGAGGAGAGCATGCGATTGCCCATACTTAGCATACATAGAGAATTAACCTACACACTTTACACAGCAGATTTACCTAGCACGCTGCATGTGGCTGGTATATGCTGTGTGGGTGAGACACTGATAGCAGCAGCACTTGTGCACCAGTGACACACAAGCAGCAACAAGATACGCCACCAATGGCCAAAATTCCCTCACCTCGGAGAGCAGCATAACAACCACAGCGATCCGCCTCCCACCCAACCCCCAAACACGCACACACAGTGGGAACCACAACTCCCCCATAAGACAACCATTGCATGCAACACTCCCCCTAAAACATTTGTTGCACGCAAATCCAGAGAGAAAGGCTGAATTCAGCCTCCACACATCATGCATGTTCCGACCATGCCAGTTCTGGCCTTTCTTTCCCTCAGCTTGGGGTGCAGCATAACAACCACAGTAGACACTCACACACGCACACTCGCACACATGCACACACACACACATACATAAGAATAAAAGAGAGAGAGAGAGTGCAAACCACACAGAGGAGAAAGCCTGAGTTCACCCTCCACACATCATGCATACCATGACCATGCCAGTTCTGCCCTTTCTAGGTGTTTCCAGCAACGTTAAACCACAAGTACACCGCCCAGGCAAACAAAAATATTGAAAACGACTCATCCCGAAAGTTGCGGAGGCTGGGGCCAGGAATGGAGGCCAAAAAAAAAAAGGAAAGAGAAAGAAGAAAAGAAAAAGAAAAGAAACGAAGAACTATGAATCCACCGACAACGGGAAGACCCTCACGTAGATGGAAGTTACAACAGTGCTTTGAGGAATGTATCTGGCCAGTATGTGAGGACCATGAGACATGTTGTTTTTGTTTTTTGCTTTTTGTTGTGAGGTCCTTGTAGCACCCTGCCAGCTAGGCAGGGCGGATTCAACGCGAGGCAGCTAACTGCCTCGCTTCTTTCAGTTTCAGACAAGTACTGTAGCATCCTGTACCGGACCGCAATCACAGCATAAGGGGTGCTTTTTTTCTTTTCTTTTTCCTACTTGCTGTCCGTGATAGACGCCCTCACTGAGGGCACAGTCACAGTAGCACATCATAGAATGTATCTGATGGTTATCACGGCGCCAGGGAAGTTATTTTTTTTTCTTCTTATTATTTTTTTTTTTTTGGTTGTTCTTAGATGCACGACCCTGGCTCGGCAAAACTCGGTGCACAGTGAAATTCAGTGTTGGGAAAAACAGGTTCGGATGTACTGGTGGTTTAAGATATATGCTAAATGGATGGGGATTGAACATGGTAATCTAGCGTGTATTAGATTCAGGAGAACCAAGTATAGCCTCTCACCCAGACAAATAGCCCAGGACAGGATTTAGCAGAACCGATTCCAAGTCAGGCGACAAGCTTGGCACCACATGACTCTTTATGAAAGCTGTTAATGCCTCCATTGCCATAGACCAACACCTGGCGGACATAAAAGCAACACACACAGGTAAATCCAGCACACCAAGAACAAAATCAGCAATAGAGCTCACGAACAGCCGAGAGGTGAGTCAAGCACAAGTGATTGATCAACAACTAATGTACAGTAATGAACCATTATCAAGCTGGCCACTGCCGTCTTTCCCGACGGATCCTGATTATGAACGTATAATCGGCACTTCTGACTTCAAATCTGTCGATCTGACTACATTATTAAACAAATGAATTCAGGTACCTCCTTTTCCATCTTTCCCGCACACCCACCCAGCCACCTCAAACTTGTCCAACTCCCAATCTTCAGCAAACGCCATGTAAGTAAATGAAATTGTGCGATGTTTGATTGAATGAGTGAATTTCAGAATTCCATCACTCCTGCTCCAAAACTCAGCAACACCCAGAAAAGAGGACCTCGAGGCAATTTCTGATGTTAATTGATTTCCTAAGTTCCTAACAATACTATTTATTAAATTTTATAATTTTTATTTAGTATTGATACAATTTTATTGTCACATGTGACATATCTATCAACTGCAAAACAAACGAAGAAAATAGCAGACAGCATGGAGCACAATCAAACCAGCATTTTCCTTTTCCTGTGCATTTTCTTTCTTTCCTTCCTCTCGTCAGGCTTTTTCCACGGTTGCCTGTGTGTTTCTTCCTTAGCTATCCAAAAAAAAGGTGCCAAAAACTATGTCTCACATACAAGGCTCGGCCCCTTGATGTGGTTGAGCGTGAGCCGCCTACATCCCCACGTACCACCTTGGTCCACTTGCGGGGTGTGAAAGGGCAGAGTAAACAAAAACAACAACAACAACAACAATGCAAGTTGCAACATACATAAACTGCGGGGCAGTGGTTGGTGCTAATTGCAATCAGGGTTAAGATGGGGAAGAACTATAGAGGGTTCAAAATTCAAATTGATTATTACCTACATCACTAACATTACTATATAGAGTAGAAGAGAGACCTCAATTTTGCAGCCAACGGGGACCCGAAAGCCTCTCAATGAGTGGTGGGCATACGTGTAGCTGATGGGCATGAAAAGAAAAGAAGAATCGGAAAAGGAAAAGCAGTATGATAACAACAGCTGAAAAAGAAAAAAAGGGTATCTTCCACGCACAGCAGATGCAGAAAAGGAATTGCTGGCTGGAGCCACCATACGTGAGCTCAGACTGAAGGTCCGTTGAAGTCCTCTTAAGCCGCTCCATGCAATTTCCTCCAAACGGAACGGCCCACAGAGCTAGCAGATCAAACTGATGTTCTTTCAACTCCTGTCCATCCGACAAAAATCAACGAGGACGATGTCAGCATGCTATCTCCAGGCAGCTACCAGCAAGAAAAAAATTGCAGTCTGAGCAACAACGTCGACGTCAGAGATCAGCTTTCTCATAGCGGTGGACCAATTGCAGTTTCTGAAATCAAGATACAGATCAGCTTGACCCCCATCTTCCCACGATGAGAACGCATGGTCATTATTGCTGCATCTAGACAGAAAGTTGTACCCCGAAAACAGTTACAATCACCTTGCGCTCTATTCGGCTGAAGATGTTAGCAAAATCATTACATGCATGCCCTACCAACATTCACAACCACTGGTTTTCTTGACAGACTAGCAAATGATGCACCCTTAATCGTGTAAAGCTACGACTCATCCATATTCAAAGCCGTGTGTTGAATGCTACCATATTCACCGAAATACAACGTACCGTCATTATTGCTGTATCTAGACTCAAAGTTACCCCAAATACAGCCATAATAACCGTACATTGTATTCGAGTGAAGACGGTAATGGATAATCGGACCAAGCGTGAGCTTCCTGCATAAACTCCTGGGCCCCCATAGAATGCTCATCGAGAGTCCGTCAGTTCATCCATCCAATCATGTCAAAAGCACTAACTGCTGGGCCCTAAAATGAACAGGGCTTCCCATTGTTCTGATAATGCCCAACACCACTACCTTGCTCTCAGGCCGCAAAAGAGCGGGTGTTCCCATTCCCCCGACTGGTGGCGCCCCAACCATCCCATGGCACCATGCGGGAAGGTAAACACAGGCCTTTCTTTTTTTTTTCCGTTAATTTGGAATATTTCTCGATTTACGTGTGACATCCTTGCACAGGGGCCATGCGAATCTTCTGTGTATAGTTCCAATTTTAACGGATTCCCCGAAGGACAAACACAGGCGTCTCTATCAAAAAATTATAAGGCCTTTCATCGTCATCGGGCCCAGGATGGAGGAAGAACCTTATTCTTGTCCTCGACTGGTACTGGTTGGACCTCTACCTCTCTACTGACCTTTCCGAAAAGCGCCCTATGCAGCACCACCACGCACATCTTATGCCTGTGCAGCAGCAGGCAGACCGAGGCCCCTGTTAGCACTGCAGTCTTATTCTCCCATGGTCATGCATGCGCCTCGACTTTTGAGGCACGGCCTACACTGGAGCAAAATGGCTGGTGGCACCAACCAAAAAACAAAACTCACCAGTTCGTTTTTTTTTTGGTGCGCAGGGGGTAAATCTAATTCCGTGAAAAGAAGCCTCTCTAAGTACTGGTGGTTTAATGGCCCCAGCGAATCAACAATTGACCCTCTCCGAAAAACAGGAAGAGCCTCTGGGCAGCCATATCAAAATGGCCAGCAGCACCAGCCGGAAGCAAAACAAAAACACCGCTCCGGTCATTCGGTGAAGCTCGGCGAGCAGTGGGCATCGGCCTCTCGAAACGAAGCACGGATGTACAGGTGACCGCCAGCCAATTTTGCCGACCGACCTCGGCACCTCAGCCAGTCCCTGCACATGAGGAAAAAAAAAAACTGTGGCAGCTGGACCTGGATCTGACATCCTACGGCCCAAGTGAAAAAAACAAAGCCCGTGTTGTAATAACTAAGCCAATCAGAAATAGGGTGGTGAACCTGATGGTCAATTTCTTAAACCACCACTACCCCCGCCGTCATAAATTACGGGGCAATGGTAGCACAGGTCCATGAAGGCTACCGGTAGCACAGAGGGGGGAACTGGCGGAGTGGCAAAATTGTGCAAGGAAAATGAGCGATAGCAAACTTCAGAAACCAAGCAGCATCATACACAAGATCAGATTGTCGTGACCTCGAACCAAAAGCAGAATTGCAACACGAATTCCACCAAATAAGAGCACAGCAAAAGCTCACAAGTGACAACGCTGGAATAGTCTCATCATCATCAACAATGAACCAATGTCGACATCCTATCTGGCGCTCTGCGCCCAGACTACAAATAGCAGATCCTATCTAGCCTATCTACAATGCAGCTGGTGACGTCAACAGCTCCCAGAAGTACGAGCAGATCTCGGCCAATGCGATTCGCCTCAAGTACCAGGTATGTCTCTCGTATCACTCACAACCTCGATCCCACACTCACAGATGCAACGTGCACCCAAGGACCACCACGCCCATCCAGCATTGTTACATGCCCAGTTGGGCAATGTACATATATAACCGAGGATCCGCAATGTGATAAAAAGGACTGAACGAACAATGCAGTGCAAGTAAAATCTCAACAAGCAGTGTACATCCGAGTACATACAAAAATGGTGCTTTATGGCGCAGTGGAAGACTTAGATACAAGTCCTGACCTCACCGGGACTGACCTCTGTCATGTAGTGCACGACAGCGCAGCAGAATGCTAGAATACCAATGACTAGCCAATCAATGTCGCAATGTAGACTAAACACATATCATCTTCATCACAAGGTGTGAAGGGGGCCATGGCGCTACACACAGGAAGAATGCGCCCGGTCCAGATCATGCACAGACGAAGAGGAGGGAAACAGACGAAGAAGAGGAGGGGTGGAGATGGGACAGTCGTCAAAACCAAGTCTTCGTTACAAGTCCCAAATAATCCCTCGTCAAAATGTCTGAAGCCCAAACGTCGAGTCTGGATCCAAATGCCACCAAGCTCTCTCTTTCTCTCGTAGTCTGCTGATGTAGTGTAGTCAGGAAGCGAGAGGGTGAGAGGGAGATGGTGGACTGAGAAGAGGAAGAAGAGGAACTCTCTCTCTCTCTCTCTCTCTCTCTCTCTCTCTCTCTCTCTCTCTCTCTCTCTCTCTCTCTCTCACGTGCCAGGTACTAACCTGTGAACTTGACGCTGTGGTGCAGGTACCTCGAAGACGGAGCTGGAGCTATGGTGCTGCACGTAAGTCTCCCTGGCCTCCGGCCAATCTCTCTCTCTCTCCAGTACAACTCTCGCTCCTACTAGCGCCCAGCGCTGAAGACTGCTGCTAACGCTACGAGCGCCCAGCTCTGAAGACTACTGCTAGCGCTACTACTACTGCAGCGCTCCTCCAGAGTGCTCCTGCCGAATAGTGAAGACTACCTCCTGCCTCCTGAACTGCACGTGAAGCGCCTGGGAAGTACCTAGGAACTACCTGCAGCCTGCAGGGCAGGCCAGTCTTATATAGTGCTGGCCCGTCCAGGAGGCTGCTCTTGCCAATGCCAAAACGTGCCAGACCCTGGGGTTGAAGCTCAAACAATGGTTGTCTTGAAAATAGGCCAAAAATGGCCTGAGCTTAAACCCTGGTCTGGTGCATGAGTTTCAGGGCAGGTCGATCTTATGAGGGCCTGAAAATGACCCTCCGTTTCAGGCTGAAAAGACTCTGGGCCGGAAAGGCCCTGTTTTAGGCTGAAATGACACAGGGCCTGTAGGCCCTTGTTTTCAGGCTTTCAGGCTGAAACGACACAGGGCCTGTAGGCNAAGGCCCTGTTTTAGGCTGAAATGACACAGGGCCTGTAGGCCCTTGTTTTCAGGCTTTCAGGCTGAAACGACACAGGGCCTGTAGGCCCTTGTTTTCAGGTTTTCGGGCTGAAAACGACGCGGGCCTGAAAATGGCCCGTGCAGCCTGTTGCAGACGCAGCATGTAACAACCATAGTGCATCGCAGCTCGGCTATGGCTGCCTGCTCTTCCAGCTCGCCCGTGAGCACGTGGGCCTGGCCAGCGATTAGCGCAGCAGCGCTTGCGCAGCATGCAGCCAGTGCCCGAATGCCGAATGCCAGGGCAGGCCCTTTCCTATATGGAAGTGCCCTGCCAGCTGCATGCGGCCAGGCTGTGCTGGGCCTCGCCCCAGAAGCTTCTGGTAGGCCCCGAGAGGCTGAGCCCTGGTCCTAACGAATCAGGTCCAGGGCCTGTGACGGTTGCTTGTGCCCAACTGCCCGCAGCGTGGGTTCGGCCCATGTTGTGTATCTGGCCCAGGGCCAGCCTCCGTTACTTACGAAAAAGGCAGCCAGAGCCTGGGCGCTCTCAACCAACTGGTGCTGTGCAACCGCCTGAATTTTCCCCAGTTGTGTGGTAGCCTGAAAATAGGCGCTGTGGTCTTGGTCGGGCCTGCCTTCACTTAGGGCGGCTGACAGTGCTGCTTGCAGGGGCAAAGGGGCTCATCGGGGCCTTATGCCTCACAATTGGAAAATGTGTCCAATTGCCCCCACGATATATTTTGTGGTTAAAATGATTTTTTTAATTTTTTTCAAATATTTTTCCTATGAAGATCACGAAAAAATCTACATAGACTCGAAATTTCAGAATTGTTGAGTCGTCCTTTTGAGCACAAAAAATCACGGAACTCGGGGTAATTTTGTAATAGAGTGGCAAAAATGGAAAATGTGGCGAAACAGCGTAGCATTTATTTCACGTCTATTTTTTTTTCATTTAAAAAAATATATATATATCGTCACAAACAGAACTGCCCGGTAAACCGTAGGCAGAGAGAGAGAAGAGGACAACAAACGAGGGGCTCTGACAGACTGTTTCGTCGGAGTTTCACCGACTCATCAGGAGGCTGAACCCTCAACAGTCTGCAGAGTCCCCTCACTGATTACACTGTAAATGATAATCTACCTTAACCAAAATCAAAGTAGACTATCACTCACCCACACCAGAT